TAACTCGTTTATCCAAAAAAATCGTAGGATAAACACGAAGCTGGCCATCAACATTAAGTTCAGGTGGGTCTCTGGTAGCAACATTGTTATCCCCTATCTTTCTTTTTAAAAGACTGATATGAAAAACAAGATGAAGTCGAGAATGATTTGGTAATTCCAATTCATATGCGACTGATCCAATTCTGTGTTTGATTTTGTAGGGTCCATAATAACGAGTAGACAATTTCAAGTTTCTGCGCAGAGCCAAAGAGGTCTGCTTTTAAGGTTGAAGCTTAAGGTAAACCTTATCACCTTCCATAAACTGTCTATCACTCCTTTTTTGATCTGCATAATACTTCATTCGATGCTGTGCTTTACTAAGTTGATCAAGCAATATACTATTGATATTGTCTCTGTCTTTCATAAACTGTTGCACATCAGCTACTTGTGAGTCAGTAGTCCAAGTTATAGTTGGCGGTATATAACCATATAATGCAGTAAAGGGAGTAGTACCCAATGTTGTATGAAAACTTGTATTATACCACCATTCAGCATGAGAAATCCACTTAGCCCATGAACTAGGCTTTAAAAAACAAAGTCCTCTTAAGTACTACTCAAGACATTGATTAAGTCTTTCTGTTTGACCATCCGTTTGAGGATAATAGGAAGTTATAAATAGGGTTGTAGTCCCTAATAACTTCAATAACTCCTTCCAAAAAACACTTGTAAAAATCTTATCTCGATCAGACAGAGCAACTTTAGGTTGTCCATGGAGTTTGTAAACTTGCTCTAAATAGACTTTAGCAAGATCAGAAGCTGTAAAAGGATGAATCAGTGGTAGAAAACTTAGTGAACTTGTCAATTACCACCAAAATAGAATTGTATCTATTAGAAGGAGGCAACCCCTCAATAAAGTCCATGGTAATAAACTCCCAAGCTTGCTGTGGAATAGGTAATGGTTGTAGTAGCCCAGGTTGCAAAACATGTTCTTGTTTAATTCTCTGACAAACATCACACTGCTGAACATACTGTTTAACCAGTGTCTTCATTCCCTTGCAATAAAAATACAATTTCAGTCGATGATAAGTAGCCTGTATGCCAGAATGTCCACCTTGTGGTGAATCATGAAGTGTAGAAAGAAGTTGATTCCTTAATCCTCCTGTGTCACCAATATACACTATGCCTTTATATCTTAGGATCCCTTTAGTGTAGGACCAGTCAGTCATGCCATTAGGATCAAATAACAATTTAGGAATTAAATCCTTAGCCAAAGAATCAATTTCATAACTGTTTTCCACCTCAGTGACCCAAGCAGGAATAACTATTGTAGTAGATAACTGTTGAAATTCAGAATTAACTTCAAATTGTCTTGATAAAGCATCAGCAACTCTGTTGTGTTTACCTTTGCGAAACTGAATAGAATAATTCAATCCCAATAATTTTGTAAGACTCTTCTTCTGAATTGTAGTAGTTAGCTTATGTTCAAGCAAGTGCTTCAAGGACTCATGATCTGTTTTAATTATAAAAGAACTGCCTTCAAAATAATGTCTCCATTTAGAAATAGCCATTAAAATAGCTAAATACTCTTTCTCATAAATCGATAAATCAACCTGTTTTGGTCCCAAAGCCTTACTGAGGCAAGAAATTGGTCTACCCTCTTGAGATAGGACTGCCCCTATGCCTTTGGAACTAGCATCAGTTTCCAAACAAAACTATTTTGTAAAATCTGGCAGAGCTAGCACTGGAGCAGTACACATAGTATTCTTAAGGGTGATAAATGCCTTCTTAGCGTCATCAGTCCAAACAAACTGATCCTTCTTCAACATTATAGTGAGGGGTTTGCTAATTTCACCATACCCCTTAATAAACTTTCTGTAATAACCAGTGAGACCCAAAAACCCTCGCAAAGATTTCAAATTATTTGTAATAGACCACTCCTGAATAGCTTTAATTTTTGATGAATCTGTAGCTACTCCATGTTGTGAAATAGTATGACCAAGATACTCCACTTCAGCTTGGCCAAAAAAACATTTAGTTCTCTTAGCAAAAAGATGGTTTTTCCTTAAAATCTCCAAAACAATTCGTAATTGCTCTGCATGACTATGCAAATCAGGACTGTAGATTAAGATATCATCAAAGAAAACTAGAACAAATTTCCTAAGGTAAGGTCCAAATAAATCATTCATAAGAGCTTGAAAAGTAGTTGGTGCATTAGTTAATCCAAAGGGCATTACCTTGAATTCAAAATGGCCATGATGTGTCCTGAATGCTGTTTTAGGAATATCTTCAGGTTTAATTTGAATCTCCCAATAAACAGATCTTAAATCCAGCTTAGAAAAAAAATTAGCTCCAGCTAGTTCATCCAAGAGATCATCCACTACAGGAATAGGAAACTTATTTTTAACAGTTAGTGCATTTAACTGTCTGTAATCAATGCACATCCTCCAACTGCCATCTTTCTTTTTAACCAATAAACAAGGAGAAGCAAAAAGGCTCTTGCTAGTTTGAATAATTGAGGCAGCTAACATCTCAGCCACTTGTTTCTCAACTTCTGTTTTCTGATGATAAGGCATCATGTATGGTCTAACATTAACTGTGTCAATACCTGACTTAAGGATAATAGAATGATCATGCTTCCTTATTGGAGGCATTCCAGTAGGTTCTTCAAACACATCCTTATATTCAGCTATTACAGCTTGAATTGTAGGAGGAATTACATTGCCACCAACTTCAGCATTTAACATATACATTTCCCCTACCAAATCAGGATTTTTATTCATCAACTTCTGCATCTTGTTGCTTGAAATTATCTTCATTGCAGTATTGTTTAACCCTCCTTCCAACATAATGTCTTGATCACCCATCTTAAAACTGAGAGTCATACTGTTAAAATCCATTAAAACTGGACTGTATTTCTTCATCCAGTTAACTCCCAGGACCATATCACTACCTCCAAGGTTTAACACCCTGAAATCATGAATAAAAGTGAAGTCTTGCATTTCCCAACTCAATTGTTTACTCTTTGATGTACTATAAAGCTTATCACCATTAACAACTGTAATGACTAATGGATTAGTTTCCTCCAACTCTAATCCTTCCTTAGCCCACCTACTAGTGACAAAACTATGAGTACTGCCACTATCAATCAGAATACTGAGTGGTTTTCCTTTAATGAATCCTTGGATTCTCAAAGTGCTTCCTCCTGAACTTCCAGTTATGGCATTGACAAAACTTTCAGGATCCTTTTCCTCCATTGTCATTCTATCAACAGAATTCTGAACTGCCTGTAAATCCTCTGGTTCCTCTTGCTCCTCTTGCTCAACCATCTCCTCCATAGAATTCAATTACTTCAGTTTGCAATGATGACCAGGAGTAAATTTATCACCACATTTATAGCACAAATTATTTGCCCTCCTATACTCCAATAACTGTTGTCTATTTTGATTTAACCCTGGATTGCTCTTCAAGGATGAACTCATTGAAGAAGGAAATGTTCTGGAACTGGTAGTATTTCCTGAAAGTATTGGTCGTGGAATGCTTCTAAATCTTTTACTTTCCACTTCCAATGACAGCTCGTATAACTTTGCTTTTCTAGCAGCTTCAGCTATAGTCTTTGGTTCCAAAACCTTTACCTTATGTTTCAATTCCTCTTTAAGACCACTTAAAAAACTGGAAACAAAATACTCCTCTCCTAATTCAGGATTAATCTGAAGAAGGTAGGGTTGAAGTTCCTCAAATTGAGCTTCATACTCCTCAACAGAAGATAAATGAGTTAATTTGTTAAATTCATCAATAACATCAATATAACCCTTATCAGCAAATTTATGACACATATCAGAAACAAATTCATGCCAAGTAACTCTACTCTTTTTCATGATATACCCATCAAACCATATCTCAGCCTTGCCAGTGAAGTACATAGCAGCTATTTCTAACTTCTGTAATTCAAGAACAGCAAAGATAGAAAAATATTTCTCACATTTTCTAATCCAACTCCTAGGATTAGTGCCATCAAAAACTGAAGCTCTATTTTCGGTTTTGGAAGAAACATACCAGTGTTAGTGTTACTAGAATGTTTTTCCATGAATGGATATCCTTTAATGATAGTTTGCTCCCCGGATTCCATTGTATTTGCTGTTGCTTTCATCTTAAAAACATCATGTGGTAAGGTAGGCTTGGATGCTAAGATTCCCGGTTGTCCTGGTTGAAATGAGTATTTCTCCTTATAATCAAGGACTGTAACTTGTAATGGCATTTTAGTTGTATCCTTAATCTGAGTTGGTGGTGCTTGTGGTCGTTCTGTAGGAGTAGACTGCCCAGATTCAGTCCCAGCCTTCTGCATCAGCCCCAATAGTTGCTGAAGCATGTTCTTTGTGTCAGTTGTTGTGGCCTCCAGTAGTTGCATCCTCTTCTCTAAAGCACTCTGCTGATGAAGCCACCAAATTAGAACTTTCTCCACCTCAGAAGACTCTGCTGGATCAGCAGGAATGACCGGCGGCTGATCATTGTGAGCCATCTGTTGTAATTTTCGTGCCTTACCCAGCTTGGAAAAAAATTTAGTATTTTTGGATCAAAATGGCCTTGCTCTGAATACCAATTGTGATGAACTGCTCAAGAAAAATAAGAAAGGATTTAAGGAATAGAGAATTTAGGTTGAAGAAAATAGAATCATAACATTTTCATTGATAAGTTTTCATTTGGTTACACTGATTTTTTTATAGAAAATAGCTCATAACAGACTGCCAGCTGTATTCTTGTCTAACAGACTTGATTCCTTAACCGTTTTATTATTTTTGGTGATTTCAGGTTGTTGGGCTTGTTTCATACTCTGCCCATCATTCATCTGATCCTTTGCTTCCTTGCCCATTTCCCACGCCTGGTCCAGCTGCCCATCTGGTATATTCTTCACCCAATTCTTCTGCTCATTCATTTTCTCAATTCCCTTTTCATTTGAAATCCCTAAATTCCCCATGCTTCCCCTTTCTTCCTCATTAGCTTCCAGTGAAATCCCTAGATTCACCATGTTTCCCTTTCCTCCTTCCTCATTAGCCCAGCAGGTTAAGTGGACTGATAATACTGATGAGGAAGTTCCTGTAAATACCGGAATCGAATTGACTGTTGGATTCATTCCGGGACTTAAGGTCGACCTGATCCCGCTTTTACCTCAGAGAAAGGTGAAATTTTATTCTGCTATTGAAACAGTTAGAAGATGGAATGCTAACAAATATTGATGCTTAGTGTTGCTAAGCCCTTATTGACTTGTTCCTTATTTTTGATTTATCGAAGGAAGACTAACATGGAAATCTTTGCCCTTATATCAGGCACCTCAATGGTTAATGATTGATAAGTTTGTGATTGATATCAAGGATTATACATCCTCTGCGTCTGGTTCCACAACACCGCCAGCAATTATAATTATAGGGGTAAGTTGCTAAGTTAGGGTCTTTTAATTGGTTGCACTTTGACACGTGGCATTTTGATTTTGTATGATGGAAGTGTTGACCAGAAACCTATCCTTGAGAAGTTAGGAAAGTTTTTCCATTTCCCTATTGGTTTTCATTTTGCTTCCAATGGAACAAAATTAATCATCTTATAACTTGAACTGATTGTAAGCATAGGAGAAGTGACTATTTAGACCATATATGCATCGAAAATTCAAACAATTCCATTCTAATGTAACTATTGTCTCTTTCCAGCATAGCAAAAACATTATTCTTTTTAAATCTAAATAGAAACAACATACAATTAAGAAAAAATACCCAAAACTCTGACCTCAGATTTCCATGAAATTTATATTCTTAACGAGAAAATAATTTTCGCTCATCTATGTTCAAGTCTTAGCAGAACAAACATGTTCTCAAAGGGTGGCATTATATGTTACATTCTGCCCTTTTGTACAACATATAAAATGGAGAATATCAATGTTGGGTCCAACATGTAGACATGATCAATAACCTTTATGGTAATTCTGTCTCACCTCTTCTGAGCTCCTAACTAGGTGATTTAGGGGGTTTTCAGATTAGTTCTAGCAATAGTTCTTACTCTTTTTATGTTATCCAGAAGATTTGTGCATGTTTATTGTTGTTTTTGGTAATCCTGTTTGTCTCAGATTATGCTATGTCTATGGAAACAATCACTGTGGGTGATGAAAGAGGTCAGTTTGTGTATATAAGTAGTAATGCTTCAAGAAATGTCAAACAATCTCCAGATGCTATTGCTCCTGTATTTGCAAGAGATAGAAACAAAGCCCATGGTAACTATTCCTATGATTCTTTATTTATTTGTTTTTCTCAAATTTTTCGGAACTTATTAACTGTGTTAATCGCTACACAATACACATGCATAAGTTTCCTTTTGCAAGTGTGATAGTGTTGAAAACATTTTGATATTTCGATATAACAAATTAAGTTAAATGAATTTTAAGATTTTCCAAATGATTTTCTAAGTATATTCGATAGAATTATTCGAATATCAAAGCATTACTCCAAATCTTTCAAAGATCATTTTTAATCCTTACTCAAAGTGTAAAATTAAGTTTTAATCTTAAAACAATTTCAAAATAATTTTACAAAGTATTTCGAACCATTTCAAAGCCAAAAATTCCAGATTGCTCAGAGGGAACCGATTCCCCCCTAAGGGGTACCGATTCCCCCATGAATGGTTTGGCTCCGAGAATTCCAGTATGCTTGGAGGGAACCGATTCCCCCCTAAGGGGTACCGGTTCCCCCCTTGTATAACGGTCGAAATATTTGAATTTTACACTTAGGGAACCGATTCCCCATAGGGGGTACCGATTCCCCCACGCTCCAAGCTGTTTTATTAATTATTTTCACACTAAAACAGCTATATGATATTCACCAATCATTCCCAACGTTCAGAAGTGATTCAAGGTGTATTTAAACAAGTTCTGAAGCTCTTGATCAACAAGAAATTATAGAGAAACAAGAAAGAAAGCATCAAACACCAAGTTTGTGCAAATCAAGCCAATTTTCCTTTAAATATTCATTTTGCTTTCAAAGAACACCATTTGTGCTCATTTGTAATTATTTGTGAGTGTTCCTTTCTTGTTTTAGAATTGTGCAAACATCTTACCTTGTGAGGTTTTCCTTGTAAGTTTGCAAATTTGTGTATTTCTCTTTGAAAAAGAGTGTGCTCAAGAATTTGGGGTATAATTCTTGAGGGAGCTGTAAGGTTACTCTTTGTCCTCAAAAGAAAGAACAAATTAGTGAATTTGTTGGAAAATCCTTAGTGTGGATAGCTAAGGTAGTGGACGTAGACTTTGGTTGATAAAGTCGAACCACTCTAAATCGATGTGCAATTATTTTCAATTTTCTACAAAAGCTTCCACCAAAAATTTTAATTGCCAATTCACCCCCCTCTTGGCCATATTCGTCAATCGATTAACTCAACAATTGGCATCAGAGCCTAACTCATTTGAAGGTTTAATCGCCTCTTGAGTCGATCTGGGAAGAGTTAAATCGATAAAGATGGCGTCCACTTCCGGTTCATTCTCCATGGAAGAATCCAGACCAATTGACGTGCCTCCACACTTCAATGGAACAAATTATCGTCATTGGAAGAGGTGTATGATGATATTCATCAAAGCATTTGATATGGAATCTTGGATGATAATCAAGAAAGGATATTCCTCTCCTACTAAGAAGGCAAAGAAGTGGAGTATTCAAGAACGGAATGAAGCTCAACAAAACTCAAAGGCTATGCACATGTTGTGTTGTGCAATTGATCCTAATGTATATAAAGGAGTTTCTTCTTGTTCAAGTGCCAAGAAAATGTGGGATAAGCTTGAGGAGATCTATAGAGACAAGGAAGAAGAAGAACCAATAAAAGTGATGTCTCTATTAGCTCTCACAGAGCCAAAGGTATCTTCTAACTCAAATATATCAAATTCAAAATCTTTTAATGAGTTACAAGATGCTTATGATAAATTATTTTCAAAGTTTGAGACCATGAACTCCAAATACAATAAATTGATTTCTAAATTTATTGCTAAAAATGATCTTCTTTTGAAAGCTAAAACAGACTTGGAAAATCAAAATGAAATATTGAGAAAGGAGTTAGAGCTTTCAAAAATAAAATCTGAAAACTTTGAAAAAGAAATTTTCAAATTAAACAAACTTCTTCTAGAAATGAAAATGGATTTTGAAAATCAAAATGAAATCTTGAAGAAGGATTTAGAACTCTCAAAAATGAAATTTGAAAGTATTGAAAAAGAAAATTTCAATTTAAAAGATAAGCTTGAATGTTTAACAAAAGAAAAAGAGATCATTCTAAATAATTCATCTAGTTCAATAATGACAATATGTTCACATTGTCATTATCATGGTCATAAGGAACATACTTGTCCTTTAAAGAAAGGTAAACGATTTAAAATTAGACAAGTATGGATTCCAAAAGGAACAAGAGGCATTGAAACAAATGTTCAAGGATCCAAAGCAATTTGGATACCAAAATCTACTTAAATGTCTCTTGTAGGTGTGTGAGAGCAATGGTGATGAAGTAGATGATATTCAAGATGCTCTAGCCACATATGAAAAAGTAATGGGTAACCTCTAAACTTAATTTTTTTTTATTTTATTTGGTTGCTCTTTTATTCTATGCATGCATGAGGTTTTAAATGTTAAATAATTCTAAATGATTATGTTTTGTCTCATGTATGTTGAAAATATTGTATGATGAACATGGTAATTTTTTATAAACTCTAGTTCATCATATTAATTTTTGGTCAAAATTATTTTTTAAAATGAATTGATATCTCTTTAATAATTGATATTGATTTTTCAAGAACTTTGGTTTTGCAAAATTTTGATCTGAAATTTTTAATGTTTATGCATAGATTTTTGTTTAAATATTATAAAGTTTTAATGCATAACATTTTCAAAAACTTTATGCATGTGCTCTTACTCTCTATAATCAACATTGCATAATGTTTTATATGTGAATGGGTTAAAAGCATAATCTTTTGAAAAATAAATTTGATAAAAGATACAATGTTTTATTTTAAATGATTACAAAATTGATTGACATTGAATCTACTTTCGATTATGCTTATTGGTCATAAAATAGAGATATATGCATGGTGCATTTAGATTCTTTTGATATGATTAATTTATGCCTAGTTGCTAAGAATGAACATGATAGTTGGTTATGGCATAGGAGACTATGACATGCTAGTATGAGTGTTTTGCAACGGTTAATTCAAGGAGACCTAGTAAGAGGGTTGCCTAAGCTTAAATTTGATAATGATAAAATCTGTGATGCTTGTGCTAAAGGAAAACAAAAGCGAGTTTCTTTTAAATCCATTAATGATGTATCAACTAGTAGAGTTTTACAATTGATCCATTTAGATCTTTTTGGGCCAACTAGAACTACTAGCTTGGGTGGAAAACAATATGCATTTGTCTTGGTAGATGACTATTCTAGATATACTTGGGTTCTATTTTTAAATACTAAAGATGAAGCATTAGAACAATTCATCACGTTTTCAAAAGTAATCCAAAATGAAAAAGGTTACTCTATAACTAGTGTTAGGAGTGATCATGAAACTGAATTTGAAAATCTTGGATTTACTGAATTTTGTAACTCTAACGGTATTAGCCATAATTTTTCAGCACCTAGAACCCCTCAACAAAATGGAGTTGTTGAGAGGAAAAATCGAACTTTAGAAGAAATGGCTAGAACCATGCTTTGTAAAAATAATTTGCCAAAATATTTTTGGGCGGAAGCCACAAATACCGCTTGTTATGTTGTAAATCGAGTAATGATTAGGCCAATTTTAAAGAAAACTCCATATGAAATTTTCAAAAAATAAAAAACCTAACATTAGTTATTTTCATCCTTTTGGATGTAAATATTTTGTTTTAAACAACGGTAAAGAAAACATTGGCAAATTTGATGCTAAAAGTGATGAAGGAATTTTTCTGGGTTATTCCTTAAATTCTAAAGCCTATCGTGTATTTAATAAAAGAACTTTAGTTGTAGAAGAGTCTATACATGTTGTTTTCGATGATAATCCCCTTCCGAGGAAAGATTATTGTGTGAATGATGATGTAGGTGTTATAAATACAAATGACGTTAGACATGACGTTGGAGAACCATCATCAAAGGAAGAAACGAAAAATGAGGAAACTCATGATCCTCTTGAGAATCCAACCATTGAAGAAAGGGAAGTATCTTATCCAAGAGAGTACAACTATGTCAAGGATTGTGAAATTATAGGTGATCCATCAAAAGGGGTAACAACTCGATCTTCTCTTAGAAATATTTGTAATTATGTTGCATTTATCTCATGCATAGAGCCTAAGAATATTAAAGAAGCATTAAATGATGAACATTGTATTATGGCTATGCAAGAAGAGTTAAATCAATTTGAGAGAAGTAAAGTATGGACATTAGTTGAAAGGCCTAGTAATAAATCTACTGTAGGTACTAGATGGGTATTTAGGAATAAGCTTGATGAGAGTGGTAATATAGTGAGAAACAAGGCTAGACTTGTTGCTCAAGGGTATACTCAAAAAGAGGGCATAGACTATGATGAAACATACGCTCCCGTAGCTAGGATGGAAGTAATTAGAATGTTATTAGCATTTGCATGTTTCAATGAATTTAAATTATATCAAATGGATGTTAAAAGTGCATTTTTAAATGGTTTTATAAAAGAAGAAGTGTATGTGGAACAACCTACAGGTTTTGAAAATTCAAATTTCCGGATCATGTTTTAAAATTGACAAAAGCTCTTTATGGTTTAAAGCAAGCTCCTAGAGCTTGGTATGAAAGATTGTCAAATTTTTTAATTGAAAAAGGTTTTTCAAAAGGGAAGGTTGACACTACATTGTTTTTGAAGCATAAAGGTAAAGATTTATTAGTAGTTCAAATTTATGTTGATGATATAATATTTGGTTCTACTAATGATGTTCTTTACCAAGAATTTTCTAAGCTAATGCAAAGTGAGTTTGAGATGAGCATGATGGGGGAGCTCTCATTTTTCTTGGGACTCCAAATCAAGCAAAGAAAAGATGGCATCTTCATCAATCAAGCTAAGTACGTCAAAGATATGCTCAAAGAGTTTGGACTGGAAAATGGGAAACCTCATGACACTCCAATGAGCTCTTCAACAAAGCTTGACTTAGATGAAGGAGGTAAATGTGTAGATGTTAAATTATATAGGTCAATGATTGGATCTCTACTTTATCTAACTGCAAGTAGACCGGATATTATGTTTAGTGTTTGCTTATGTGCTAGATATCAATCATGTCCTAAGGAATCACATTTACTAGCTGTTAAGAGAATCTTTAGATACCTTAAAGACACTCCTAGTTTAGGACTTTGGTATCCTAGAGACTCTAGCTTTAGCTTGCATGCTTTTTTTGATGCGGATTATGGAGGATACAAATTAGATAGGAAAAGCACCTCCGGTACTTGCCAATTCCTTGGAAATATGCTAATTTCTTGGTTTTCAAAGAAACAAAATTGTGTTGCATTATCTACCACTGAAGCCGAATACATTTCAGCTGGTAGTTGCTGTGCACAAGTTTTATGGATGAAACAACAACTTTTTGATTATGGAATTGAAGTAGGTACCATTCCTATCAAGTGTGACAATACTAGTGCTATTTGTCTCACTAAAAATCCCATCCAACACTCTAGAACTAAGCACATTGAAAGAAGACATCACTTCATTAGAGACCATTCACTAAGGAAGATGTAGTTCTAGAATTTGTTGATACTTTGCACCAATTAGCGGATATCTTTACAAAACCTTTAGACAATGAACGATTTTTGACACTTAGGAGAGAATTAGGTTTGACCAATCTATCTTCACTGAGTGTTTAAAATAATTTTAGCACTTTTAATAATAAATGAAAAATGCTTATAATAGTAATTTTTTTAATGCATTCATTGCTATTAGTTAGGGGGAGTTTATGATTCGTGATGAAAAATTAATTCTATGTTCAAATATCGTTTAAAGATTAATTGAATTGTTTGAACATGATTAATTTTCAATATATGAGTTGCCAATACCACTAGAGGAAATTAATTTAGCATTTTGGGTGTTTAAAATCGGATTTTAGCATTTTGGTGCAGAGGGAATCGATCCCCCCTGAGGGAACCGATTCCCCCTTTGAAGGGGAACCGATTCCCCCCACAGGGGAATCGATACCCCCCTAGGGTTCTGGTTTTAGCACGGGCAGAACCCAATATTTGCTCAAACCCTCTCTTATTCCTTCACGCCGTTTCTTACCTCTATTCTCTCAAATCTCCATTCTTGCCTCAAATCAACATTTTTAATCGGAATTCACTTATAATATCATCCTCTAAACCTGTTGGAATCATCAAAAACGTGAAAACTTCATCTAATCTCACTCAAATCCAAAATCCTTCAAGGTATTTTTCCAAAACTTCTATTTTATCAATTTATGAACATAGAACTAGTTTTAATTAGTTCTAGATTGAATTTTTGATCGGGCATTGATTATTTAGTGATTAAAAACTAGATATTACAACTAATTTCATCAAAAACACAAGATTTTTTCAAAATTTTCTAAATTTTCGAAATAATTTTTTTTAAAATTATTGTGTTTTGATTAAATTATGTTGTTATTATGAAAACTATACATATATTGTTTCTCAAAATCATATTTTTCAAAAGTTTTTCAAAAACTTTGCCCATTAGGATTGATTTAGAGAACCTTGAAATATTGAGAACTCAATTGAGTTTTGGGATTGATTGAATTGCATACATGTGTTTTCTAAATTGCAGGTTATCAATTCTATTCTGATTTCCTAAACCATGTCCAATCCTAAACGTGCTAGGTCTTCATCTAGTCGTTCACACCGTCAACTAAATCCACCTCCAAATACTCTTTCTATTCCAATTTCTAATCCTAATCCCATTGATCCTAATTTGACTATCCAAAATTCGTGTTTCAATCATCCTGGTCCTAGAAATGATCGTTTTTGGTATTATCAATATTTCGACTCTTACAAAATCCAGGAAGAACGTATTCCTTCTCGTCAAGCTATGTTAGCTATCAATTTTAAATATCTTCCTCTTTTACAAGAGTGGAAATTTGATAAACTCTTTGACCTTGAACCCATCGTTTACCATCAACTTTTTCGTATTTTCTATTCTAATTCCGTTTGTGTTAAAAACCAAACTGAAACCGAAACCATAGGAATTTGTTCCTACCTCCTAGGACAATTCTTATATATTGACTCAGCTTACATAGCCAATACATTCGGATTAGATAATGATGGTATTTCAAATGAAAAACAGGTTTTAGGATCTCGTTATAAAAGAAGAGATAGTGTGAGTGTCCTAGACTTACATGAACGTTTTCTTCATCTAATGATTTCTTGGTGGTTTTGACCATCCGGAGGTCGTTATTCTAATCTTAGAGCCTTAGATCTTTGGTGGTTACATTGTTTCGAAAACAATATTAAAATTAACCTACCTTAGATTATTTTTGCTGAAATTGTTGAAACCGTAAATATTGTTCCTAACAAGAAACTATGTTCCTCTCTTGTTTACGGTTGCATTTTGAGTAATCTGTTTTCCAAAGCTGGGCTTAGAGTTTGTCTAGATGTCGTTTTTCCCCTTAAGAAACAAATTAACCTACTTTCCTTAACGAGAGCGGGATGGATTAAGGATAAGGAAACCGGTGAATGGGTTCGATCTTCTGCAAATACTCCGGGAGCTAGTTCTTCACAAGCTCCACCCGAAGCTGACGAAGATCTCGAGCTTGAGCAATTAATGCAAGACATCGATGAAGCCGAAGATGAGCCTGAGCAGCTCGAGGAGCAGCCCGAAGAGCAAGCATAACAAACGAATCCAATGCCTCCATATTTCCAATCCTTTATGGAGACATTCGATTTTCGATAAGCTACTATGGATTCACGGTTTACTTCTATAGAGTCCCATTTATCCACAATGGGAGCTCAACAATTAGAAATTCTTCAGGAAATGCAAATAATGAAGCAACCAACGTACGTATTAATGACCTCACTAACGAAATGGCCGCTATGCGAGCTCGTTTTCCTCCTCCTGATCCGGATATGTGATTCAATGTTTTGCTTTGAACTCCAAACTTATTGTTTTAACATTTTGAATATTTTGGAATGTTTGAATTTGTGGATTGATTGACTTTGAATTTGTTTGGATTTATGAATGGTTAGAAATTATCTATTTGGTGTGATTAAATTTATTCATTATTGCATCATTTACTTCATGATTAGATATATAACCAATTTTGCCATTTCACATTAATTATGAATATTGATTATGAAACTAATGGCTAACGTTTCTCTTGCTTGTGATCTTAGCAGCTTATATTATATATAATCAATTGGCTAACTGATTTCAAAACCTTGTTTAAATTCTTTAAAATGTCTTTTTGATTTAACAAAAAGGGGGAGAAGTGTTAAAGTGTTTTTAAATGATAAATGGGAGAAGTGTTAAAGTAAGGGGGAGTAATTTCAAAACTTGATTTCAAAATCTTAAAATTACTAAAATGTTTTTGTTATATCAAAAAGGGGGAGATTGTTGAAAACATTTTGATATTTCGATATAACAAATTAAGTTAAATGAATTTTAAGATTTTCCAAATGATTTTCTAAGTATATTCGATAGAATTATTCGAATATCAAAACATTACTCCAAATCTTTCAAAGATCATTTTTAATCCTTACTCAAAGTGTAAAATTAAGTTTTAATCTTAAAACAATTTCAAAATAATTTTACAAAGTATTTCGAACCATTTCAAAGCCAAAAATTCCAGATTGCTCAGAGGGAACCGATTCCCCCCTAAGAGGTACCGATTCCCCCATGAATGGTTTGGCTCCAAGAATTCCAGTATGCTCGGAGGGAACCGATTCCCCCTAAGGGGTACCGATTCCCCCCTTGTATAACGGTCGAAATATTTGAATTTTACACTTAGGGAACCGATTCCCCATAGGGGGTATCGATTCCCCCCACGCTCTAAGTTGTTTTATTAATTGTTTTCACACTAAAACGGCTATATGATCTTCACCAATCATCCCCAACGTTCAGAAGTGATTCAAGGTGTATTTAAACAAGTTCTGAAGCCCTTGATCAACAAGAAATTATAGAGAAACAAGAGAGAAAGCATCAAACACCAAGTTTGTGCAAATCAAGCCAATTTTCCTTTCAATATTCATTTTGCTTTCAAAGAACACCATTTGTGCTCATTTGTAATTATTTGTGAGTGTTCCTTTCTTGTTCTAGAATTGTGCAAACATCTTACCTTGTGAGGTTTTCCTTGTAAGTTTGCAAATTTGTGTATTTCTCTTTGAAAAAGAGTGTGCTCAAGAATTTGGGGTATAATTCTTGAGGGAGCTGTAAGGTTACTCTTTGTCCTCAAAAGAAAGAACAAATTAGTGAATTTGTTGGAAAATCCTTAGTGTGGATAGCTAAGGTAGTGGACGTAGACTTTGGTTGATAAAGTCGAACCACTCTAAATCGCTGTGCAATTATTTTCAATTTTCTGCAAAAGCTTCCACCAAAAATTTTAATTGCCAATTCACCCCCTCTTGACCATATTCGTCAATCGATTAACTCAACAGATAGGATAATATAATGGTCTCATTAATCTCATTCCTGATCCGCATGATCTGTCTTACATTTCAATTCTAGCATGTCAAGAAGCACATTTGCACTTGCAACATTTTATTAAGTTGTTCTCCTGGTTTCATACTCAATATTCCCTCCCCATTTTTTTCATGCTAATTTGCTAGGGACTTGTTCTTCATTCTTCCTGTTGTTGTCTACAATGGACGATGTTCAATTATTTTCTGGTTGGTGTTAGATCATACAGTGCATCACATGACGCTCCTTTATGGATTTTTTTATGTGGTTCTATGCATTTTTTTAACTTCTCCTAATTGTTTGATAACATATGCTGATGCATGTTAAATTATCAGGTATTGGGAATATTGAATTTCATTTTACACTGTCAAATGGTGTCTCAGCAATCGGACCAAAGCTTAAGGCTGCGTCCGTTAGAGTGCAAGATTCTTATACTGTTACCTGGCTCACTGCCAGAAGAGAAGGACAGTAGGAGATTCTTGATGGTTAACAGATGCTAGAAGATATCGATAATGAGGTATACCATGTACTTCAGAGTGTATATAAGAAAGCATGCACTTCATAGAAGTATTTAAAATCAATGTTGTTAAGGGTGCAAGGTGCACTCTAGGTGCTTAAACCCTTACATTGCCTTAGCCTGTGCACAAAAAAGTGCTAGCCTGCGTAAAGCAAAGCGCAATATGTATAGTGAGTTTTTATATGATACACCCACAAGGTTAAGATATATGGTAAACTCTAAATTGGAGTCCACTTTATCTACAAAACATGTAATTTGTTTATTGGTCAATATGTCTGATTTACTTGTAGTCAATGCTTCTTGTTGAATGCTCAAATATTATGAAGTATCAAGTTTGATATTATCATTTTCTTAGTAGTATAGATATTATATCAAATGAAAGAAAAAAGGTGAAAAGTAAAAGAAACTAAAGAGAAATTCAATAAGGCAGTCTTTTTTATGCCTATCGCTTGACAAAAAAGTGTGCCTAGGCACAGTAGGCGTTCGCCTGACCAAATGGGCCTTGCCTGAAACAGTCTGAGGCGCTTTTTTTGAAAATTTGCTGATGCAGTGCAAACTGACTGTTTAATGCAATTTTTTGTGCTCCTAATCGATCATTTGTCTTGTAGCTTCATCCCTTTCTATTAAAGTTTTGATCCGTTGCATTGAAACCATATAAAAAGATCCATGTGCTTATGGCACTGTTTATGGTTCATCCATGCTCTTAAACTTTTTTAAGTGAAAATAAATGGCAGATGGAAAATAACATGGACTGTCTTGATCTTTACATTGGGGTTACAAGACGATGGAACTGTTCTGTTGGCTCAGATAAGCCTAGGTTGATGACAACCTTGGCACTCTATGGAGTTGAAGGGTAAGACTTTGAAACAGTTCTCCCACCTTTTTTTGGTTTCACAAAAAATATGGCATGGATGCCAGAGGCTAAGTTTATATGGGTTGCAATCCCAATCGTAGCTGCATATATACAAACACGTTACATAATTGTCATATCAAGCTATCAAACTTCTTGATCCATACTCTCTCTCCATGCTTTACCTTGCCCTCTTTTGATTTTTATTTGCTATCTATATATGTTAGCTGCTGGCTTGCTGCTTATCAAAGTATTTCCTTTTCTCAAATTGTGAGTTGTAGTGCAATATGTACAGACATGAACACATCGTACTTCATGACTCATCTGTTGGGTTAATAGACATATAAGAGATGAACTTGCAAAAATGGTGTAGGTTTAAAAGGTATTCGGGGCTCTTTGCTATACTTTCTGTTGCATGATCCTTGGCATTTGTTTACAAATTATAATTGACCTGAATTTGCTTTAATTGCAATAAGAGAACTTACAAGCAATTCTATTAGTGATAACAGAATCAGTCAGGCTCATTCTAAGATAGACAATGCGTAGGGCGGATCAAGAAATCTTCACTATCATTCTTTTGTGAACATAATGTTGACATCTCCCCGTTCTTGGAGAACATTCCTGGGATTCCAGTGGCTGGAATATTTTGCAGTGGCGAAATTGGATGTGGCTACAAGAGCTTAACTGCAAATGGAAAAGGTTCTGATCGTTGCCATCTACATGCCTATAGCACTGTTTATCTTGTGATGTCTTATACTCCTTAGAGCATTCGAATTTAGAATTGCAAAACAAAAAAAATTATTGATGTGACTCAAATTTAATATGATTCAACTTTTTTTTTGCATTTAATGTGACCTTCAAATTTAGTCTATTATGATTTTTTGGCTAACGATTTTTTTAATTAAACATTACAATATTAATTTGATATTTTATGATGTTGATAAGATGGTTTACAGTGTTGATATAGTGACCCACGATGATTAGTGACATAATCGATATCTTGACAAATAAATTAAATTGGTGTTTTTATAAAGTTTTAGGTTCAAATTGCTTTTTAAAAAGGTGAGTGGTTTACTTATTTTTTAAAGGTGAGTGGTTTACTTATTTTTTAAAGAAAAAAATATATTAAATTTTAAATATACAAATAAATAAAATTAAACATAAAAATATTAAAATTAAAACTAAAATATTAAAAATAATATATATATATATATATATTATTAATGTAAATATAAAGATGAATTCTAAAGTGTGTTTTATTTTATTTAGTAGTAGTATAATTATATTATTAAATTTGTACATGTCAATTACAATGTACATTTTATTTTACTTTTATTTTGGAATGATGAATTTGTTATTCTTTAAAAAAACTTTAAAATAAATATTAAAGTGACAAAAAATCTCAAACATTCTATATCTATATTAACTTTATAGAGTTGTATCTAACATAAATTGGTGAGATATGTTATTGATTTGTTTAATAAAAAAAGCAGTAGAAGTCCATGTACTTTAAAAAAAAATTAATGTCATCATCCTATTATTTTTTTCTCTCAATATGACCCTCTAACTCATAAAACAAAATTAATGTGATTCTTTGACCAAGGTTTTTCATTGTTGATTGTTATGGTGCTAACGTTCAATTCATGTTGGTGATGCAACATTCCATGATGCTAACGTGACAATCTACTGTGACTGATGACATGAAGATAGACAAAATTGATTTTTTTTGTTTTGTTTAATAACTAAATTGGTTTGTTTATAAAGTTGGAGAATTTATTTTAATTTTTTAAAAAATAAAAATTATTTTAAATTATAAATATAAATTTATCAAATATTAAAATTATAAATTAAATCACTAAAAAATTGAATATACATATTAAAATATTAAAATTATTATAAAAAGTTGTAAAAAAAATGGATATAAATAGTATTCGAGCTCGATTAGATTCTCTATTTGTTTATATTATAATTGATTGGTGCAAAAAACTAGAGATAGAACGGAAAACTGGGAAATAGAAAGCAAACGAGAAACTTGAGTTGGTATTGAGAGTCTTCCACCCCTTAAGCCCTTCGATGGTGAACAAAGTGAACCGATCATCACCTTCTCCAACAACACCCGAACTCATGCAAAACATTGGGTTTTCTTTGATGATCGATGATATTATTCAAAACATACTTTCAAGGCTACCCGCCACCTCTTTCGCTTCCGCTGCCGCCGTCTCTAAGGACTGGAACACCGCTTGCTCTAGCATCCTCTCCCGCCCTAAGCTCTCCTCCGCCATATCCGTCAAGGCGTCAACCCTTTGCCTCCTGTTAATATTCTTTTGCTGATTTTTGTTTGTAAATATTCGTACAGATTGTTTTACAAGATGTTTTTGACAAGGTTATGTCTGAGGCTCTGAGCCAATTCGACCCCATTTTGTTATTGCAAGTGTTGGTCCTGGATTTGAATTCAATGATGTTCTACAATTCGTATGAAGTCTAAAAACATAACATCTTTCTTACTTACTCTCTTTTTTTCTGGGTTAAGTTGATTTTCCATAATTTTTTAAATGTTTTGCACCTTGGGCAGATGCTAGAAAATTTTGGATCAAGAGCACCGATTATTTTATCTTCTGTTAGAGGAATTCTTGGACGAGATGCACTAACTCATGATTTTAGAGAGGTTTGTTCTTTCTTTTCTATTATTAAGTACTTTCCTATACTGTCATCACTGTGATGCTTAAACTTTTATGTTTTTGTTTTTGAATTCTGGTTCTCGAAATGGCAGGTTGAGTGGACTGATAATTCTGATGAGGAAGTTCATGTAAATACCGGCATTGTATTGACTGTTGGATTCGTTCCGGGACTTAAGGTCGATGTGATCCCTCTTTTACGAAAGTGAAAGGTGAAATATTATTCTGCTATTGATGCTTAGTGTTGCCAAGCCCTGATCAACTGGTTCCTTAGTTTTGATTTATGGAAGGAAGACTAACATGGAAATCTTTGCCCTTTTACCAGGTACCTCAATGGTCAATGACTGACAAGTTTGTGATGTATATTAAGGAGTATGCATCCTCTGTGTCCGCTTCCACAACACCGCCAGCAATTATAATGATAGGGATAAGTTGCTAAGTTAGGGTCTTTTAATTGATTGCACTTTAAAATGTGGCTTCCAATGGAACAAAATTGATCGTCCAGCTGATAACTTGAACTGATTGTAAGCATAGGGGAAGTGACTATTTAGACCATATTTGCATCGGAAATTCATACAACGACTCTAATGTAACTATTGTCTCTTTCCAGCATAGCAAAAATATTATTCTTTTAAAATCTAACTAGCTACAACATACAATTAAGAAAACATACCCAAAACTCAGACCTCAGATTTCCATCAAATTTCTTTTCTTAACGAGAAAATAATTACTGCTCATCTATGTTCTAGTCTTAGTGGAACAAACATATGCTCAAAGGGTGGCATGACCATTAGGTTATATGTTACATTCTGCCTTTCTGTGCAACATATAAAATGGAACATATCAATGTCGGGTCCAACATATAGACATGATCAATGACCTCTGATAATTCTGTCACACCGCTTCTGAGCTCCCAATTAGGTGATATACGTGGTTGTCCGATTAGTTCTAGCAGTATCTTACTCCTTTTATGTTATTCAGAAGATTTGTGCATGTTTATTGTTGTTTTTGGTACTCATGTTTGTATCAGATTATGCTATGTCTACGGAAACAATCATTGTGGGTGATGAAAGAGGTCAGTTTGTGTATAGAAGTAGTAATGCTTCAAGAAATGTCGAACAGTCTCCTGATGCTGTTGCTCTTGTTTTTGCAAGAGATAGAAACAAACCTCATGATAACTATTCCTATGATTCTGTATTTATTTATTTTTCTCAAGTTTTATGAAACTTATTAACCGTTTAATTACTACACATGCATATGTTTCCCTTTGCAAGTGTAATAGGATAATATAGTGATATTAATCTCATTCTCGATAAATTCCGCATGACCTGTCTTCCATTTCAATTCTACCAAGTTAAGAAGCACATTTGCAGTTGCAACAATTTATTAAGTTGTTCTCTTGGTCTCATACTCAATCTTCCCTCCCCATTTTCTATATGTTAATTCTCTGAAGACTTGTTCTTGATTCTTCCTGTTGTTTTCTACAATCCATAATGTTCAATTATTTTCTAGTTGGTTTTGAGTCATACATTGCATCATATGATGCCCCTTTATGGATTCTTTATGTGGTTCTATGCATTTTTTTTCTCCTCATTGTTTGGTAACATATGTTGATACATGTTAAATTGTCAGGCATTAGGAATATTGAATTTCATTTTGCACTGTCAAATGTTGTCTCAGCAATCAGACCAAAGCATAAGGCTGCATCCGTTAGAGTGCAAGATTCTTATACTATTACTTGGCTCACTGCCAGAAGAGGACAACATGAGATTCTTGGTGGTCAACAAATGCTGGAAGATATCAACGCTTTGCTGAAGTAAGGAGGAATTGGCTACTAATCTCTCGAGGGTAGACATTGCTGAAGTATAAACCTGATCGATCCCACATCTCTTGGTCTTAAGTTGTTCTCCTGGTCTCATACTCAATCTTCCCTCCGTATTTTCTACATGCTAATTCTCTGAAGACTTGTTCTTGATTCTTCCTGTTGTTTTCTACAATCCATAATGTTCAATTATTTTCTGGTTGGTTTTGAGTCATACATTGCATCATATGATGCCCCTTTATGGATTCTTTATATGGTTCTATGCATTTTTTTCTCCTCATTGTTTGGTAACATATGTGATACATGTTAAATTGTCAGGCATTAGGAATATTGAATTTCATTTTGTACTATCAAATGTTGTCTCAGCAATCAGACCAAAGCATAAGGTTGCATCCGTTAGAGTGCAAGATTCTTATACTATTACTTGGCTCACTGCCAGAAGAGGACAGCAGGAGATTCTTGGTGGTCAACAAATGCTAGAAGATATCAACAACGCTTGGTCCCCTCCCTCAAAGGATTTCCTAAAATTTAACGTTGACGGAGCAATGAAGGCTGACGGTAGTGCAGGGGGTATCAGGGGTGTTCTTGGGGACAACTCGGGTAAAATGCTGCTATCGTTCTCGGTTCCTATGGGGTGGCTCCTTGATTCTTGCTAAAATTTTGGTCGTGGACCACACGGTGAATCTATTTAAGGAGTCATAATGGTTTAGTAAATATGGGCTAATTGTGGAATCAGACTGCAGGATGGTGGTGAATTGGCTGTAGCAATCCTCCTCAATTCCCCCCGAACGAGCCTCTTTACTCCTCCCTTTGGTATTTGTTATCCTCTAGGAAAATTTTGTAGTTAAAGCCATATGAGGAAGGAGCAATACGTTGGTAGATTACCTAGCGAGATATAGTGTAGGCTAAGTTTTGCATTGTAATTCACTATAGAAGGGCTAGTCTGGTTTCCCCTGAGCATCTAGGGGGTTTTGTTTGTAGGTGTTTTTTCAAATGTGGGTGTTGGAGGGTTGTGTTGCTTTGTTCAGTTTGTTGTGCGGTCTTTGTAGTCACTATTTAGGGTGCACTCTTTTTCTTCCTCTTAGGTTTAAGGAGGTTTTTTAACGAGGTCCCTAACAATAATAATTTCTTCTCTGTCTAATAAAACTCTCTACTTGAAAAAAAATTGGTGTCGCAGCAATCGGACCAAAGCATAAGGTTGCATCCATTAGAGTGCAAGTGTATTATTCTGTTATTTGGCTCACTGCCAAAAGAGAAGGATAGCAGGAGATTCTTGGTGGTCAACAGATGCTAGAAGATTTCAACAACGAGATATGCCCATGCACTTCAGAGTGTATATAAGAAAACATGAAATTTATAGAAGTATTTAAAATCAGTGTTGTCAATGATGCAATGTGCACTCTAGGTGCTTAAACTATTAAATTGCCTCAGGCGCTAAGCACAAAGATGTACTAGCCTGAGTAAAGTAAAGCGCAGTATGTATAATTAGGTTTTTATATAATACATACGCACATACAAAAAAAATACTTGAGTTATATAATAAACTATAAATTGGAGTGTTGTCAGTGGCGGAGCTATATCTAAGTTTTATTAAGTATTCATTTTTTATATGTGTCCGTCATAAAATTAATTCGTGTCTATCCTAAATTTTGTCGTGCCCACCCTGAATTTATTTATGCCCAAAAGAACTAAAAATGTCTATTATTTATATTATTTTTGTTTGTGGTTTAAGAATCCATTCATCATGCCCGAATCAAAATAAAACTAAAAATATATCTAGTTAATACTCAAATCCAATATAAAACACAAATTTAATATAAAATCCATATCCAATATTCTTAATCCCAATAGCAACCGGTCAACCTAACTCCCTCCTCCAAATTCGCTTTGCACCTAATACCGAAAATAGTAAAATCATTATCTATTCCCAAATTTCAGCAGGTTAATTTAGAAAAACTCCAACAACATGATAAGACTGTAATTTGTAAAAAAAAGGCGCAACACAACCTAGAAATCTACCAAAACAATAGTCTACAAACTTGTACAAAAATATAGAAGAACTAACAGAATAAACTAAAATAAATAGAGTAAATTTAAAGGAAATGTCAAAACTTTCTTGAGATTTTTCAGTGACGATGAACATGTCTGATCGTGAATTTGTACGATGAGCAACTTCACGACGATGAGTGGAGAAATATTCCCTGAGACCACATGGACCAAACGACGATGAGAAACTTTCCAAACATTAAAATATTATATTTAAATTAATTAATATATACCAAACATAAATTTATAAATATCAAAAATAATATATATATTAAATCAAATAATTTTTTAATGCATATTAAATCAAAGAATTAAAATTTAGAAATACTAAATGAACATATAATCAAATCACTAAATCAAATATATATTTCATAACATTAATTAATAAATATATTTTAAAATTTTAAAATAATATATTTGAATCAATCAAAGGATTAAAATCTATAAATACTTTTAAATAATTAAACAAATTGAATAGTTAAAATATATAGGTACTTAATCAACATATATTCGAATCACTAAATAAAATCTAAATTTCATAATATTAATAATGGTGGAAGTATAGCACTACAAATGGTTAATAATATCACTTTTTAATTTATACATATAACATTACAAACAATTTAATCATTTAAAATCAAATAATAAAGTAATGATGAATGTATGACACTGTAAATTAATAATGATATTGTAAAATCAAATATAAATTAATAATAGTTGTGAATTGTAATTAATTTGTGTTATATCAATTTAAGAATTCTTCACAAACAAATGAAAATATACACAATACATCTTTCTCATTTTATATTATGTGTCCTTTTTATGTTATAATTCAACTAATAATTTTTTTATCTTTTTTCTTTAGGCATGGAAAAATATTTTAAAAGAAAGACAACGACAAGGAATTAATGTTCGGTAAAAAAATATTTTTAGAAGTTGACTATCTTCAAGGGATCCTGAAAAAAGACCAAAGATCATAGAATATATCCTAATGATAATGAAGAACTTCGAAGGGCTTATTTTAGGCGTCTCATAGCAAAACTTCTCGTTATAGGCAACTTGTTTTATACGAGGCATTTCTAGCTAGTGATGAACATAGTACATGGTCGACATTGATGCCACATTCGACTGGGAAGCAGAAGAAGAAACTCAAGTTAATACAGAGGGATTGTACTAGGATATATTGTCAAGTCATATCGAATATCTAACGAATACGAAAACAAAAACTTTATAGGTGTGCAATTGTAGGCAATGATGAATAAGAATTAATAGTATCATATTAAAAGTAATTTGTGCAAATTATTTATTTATTTATTTATTTTAATATAAAAGATTTTCTTTTTCAAAATATATAATTATCATTTACCATATATATCATGAAAATATTCTATAAAAGATATTTGTAATAGCTAAAATTAATATATATTTAAAAATATTCGTAAAACAATCAAAATATTTGTAATATTTGATATTATATCTAGAATTATCTATAAAAGATTCTCAACATTTATAAGATTAATAGCTAAAATATTGACATGTATTAACAATCCAATGAACATTAATATCTATAAATATGAGATGTGATTTATATTCTTAATAAAGTAATGAAGACTCTAAAAAGTGTGATAGAGTAAAAAAATTACAGGTAAAGAAGAAATAAAAATAATGTGGTTAGTGTGTTCTATTGCAATTATACTATATACTAATAAAAGTGTTACATTATATTGTAATTATAAGTTTCTTGATTAAACTTTAATTTGTTTTAAGTTATAAGTTCACTTGTGTTAATTTTAACATATGATCAGTTCTATTTAGTGGCGGACCCATTAAGCATCTAGGGTGATCACGTACACACCTTGAAATTCAATTTTTCTTCGAATAATTACATATTTTAATAGTTTTGTTTACTATGAAATTTTAGTTGTGGCGACCATTCATCAAAATTTATGTGATTAATATATATGTGTATCTACCCTGAAAAATATTTCTGGATCAACCACTAACTTCAAGAATCTTCTTCTGGGTTCATAGACATATTAGAGAAAAAAATTCAGAATGGTGTAAGTTTAAGAAATATTTTAGGGTTCACTAAACTTTCTGTGACATGATATTGGCATTTGTTTTTAAATTATTAATGAGTCAGATTTTCTTTAATTGCAATAAGAGCATTTGCATTCAGATTAGTTGACTCTTTCCCTCTTTGGTACCGATCAATTAAAATACGAGTAAAACCTTCATTTTAGTTATTAATGGTTGCATTTGAGTTTGTGCATTTAAGAGAACTTCACTGTCATTCTTCTGTTTTCCTATTTTCGACCGACCATAGTGATTGTTTTAACTTATCTCTGTATCACACAAGTCCACAAATAAAACATAGGCAAGGATTGCATTTGCAGATATTACATTCCTTTCATGTTTATTTAATTGAATGGATTATTTGTTTTTAAACAGAGGAGATTCGAAAGAGTACCTTCAGGTCGATGGTGTTGGTATCAGAACTGATGACTATTGCTAATTTTACCGTCCAAATATGATGACTGCATTATCCTCAAGCAATAATGTCTCCTTGGCCCTTAGAAATTTGAAGTTGGAATGAGATTTAAAAAGCAGTCTCAACAAAAGCATGCTTTATAATGTCATTGGTAAAATGGAACCTTCCGGAGGTTTCATCTTTGGTTGCATCGGCCGTGGGGAATCATTTTTTGGTTAACATAATGTTGACAACTCTCCATTCTTGGAGATCTTTCATAGGATCCCCGTGGCCGAAATATTTTGTAGCGGTGATATTAGTTATGGTTACATATGCTTAACTGCTGATGACGATATTGGCCATGCCTATATAATTGTTTATATATTGATATTGTCTACTCCTTATCATTAAATTTTACCTATGGCTTGGATTATTGTGAACATTCAAAATTTACAATTTAAAAAAAACAACTTTAGAGAAAGATGTATGTTTGTTAAATTTGACATTTTCTTGTTCACTCAACAATGAAGGGTATTTTTCTTTCAGACTTTCTCAGTTAAATTTAAGGGTGTTCAATCGAGCCAACCGAATTGAATTATCCAACATTTATTAACCATAATTTTTCCTTTAACCATTAACCGGACCAAAAGTTTTTCGAATATTTTTAATCGAACCAAACAAAGTTTCGTCGATTTAGTAGGTTAACCAAATTAATCAAAATCTTTTGTAATGTTTTTTTATAGGAAATGGAGGCCTAGTTCAGCTAACCAAATTAATCAAAATCTTTTATAAATCTTTTTAGTTAGACTAATTTGAATTTATTAGAGATTTTTTCTTCATTTAGGCTAACATTTGATTGGGTATTAAAAACTTAATAATTCTAGTGTAAAAAAAATACTTGGATAAATTAAAAGTTTGAGCTTTATATATATATATATATATAATATTAAATATTTAATAATTTTGATTAATTTAGTTAATTAACCAATTTTGAATTGAATTAATCGATATCTGAATTCTAAAAAAATTAATTGTTAATCGAATTAATATCAGATTAGCCGATTGAATAGTCGAATTAAATTTTAGTTTGGTCGAACAATTCTGTTTAAGCCAAAAAAATGAATACCTCTAGTTAAATTATTGAGAAATGTGGGGCAGAAGCTGAGTTGAGTCCGTTTACTTGGCGCATGTTATAAATCGATAACATCAGTGATTAATTTATTACTTTTGGAACATCAGTAGGGAAAATGAAAACTTACTCAAACATTAGTGACCATTTGTAACACCCACAGATTGATGCGAGTGACCTGATCTGATCCAAGGTGTTACATTAAGGTCACCGGAGCGACTCACAGTAAAAATCTCGAAAAAATTAAAATTTCTGTTAAAGCACGTAAAATCGTAAAACAATTTATATATTAAAAGTAGAATTTAACAATTTCCAGAAATAAAATAGGTTTCTGACTAGGATATAAAAATAAAATACAACCTACATGCCCCCTAATCACATGCATCGTACTCCGCAAGCAATGCCGGTGGAACTCCTATACTGATGTTGATAGCTGCATTGGTTAAATTTTTTAGCCTGAAATGATGAGTAAAAGAGTGAGATTTGGGAAGCTCAGTAATACGGAACTACCAAGTGATATTGAAGGACATGCAGATAAACGAACATATATTTTCCTTATTGATTCAGACATCTATAGGTTTTCGGGATGAGTTGAGGTTCCACTGATATTTCTTTGAGTAAAAGACATTAAGATTTTAGTTCAGAGGAAACATTCAGAAGACCAAGTTCAGGAGATCAGAAAAGGATATCTAGTGTGTTCCAACCAAAACAGAGTAACATATATAGATCCTTTAAAAACATTAGTAATTTAAAAAATATTTTAAAATCACAGCAATACCCTCCAACTGAACACCTTTATGCAATTTCCCTAGAGCTGCTTCCATAAGGACTTACCTTAAGCACACAGCAAAGGAACCACCCTAAGGGAATACCTTGGGGCTTATGGGTCTACCCAATGGTCTCATTAGGTTCGTAAGGAATTACGAGTTTGATCAGAGCTAAACCTCCATACTCCATAATCATACCTATATAGTATCTAGTAGAAATTAGATTTAATAATAAACGGTAATATCATGATCGTGATCCAGTAAAATCTGGTAAGAGTGACAATAAAATAAACCACATAACTACTCCCCACTCATACACCATATTTAGTCCCATGATTTACCTAATGAAGAGCCTTGGATCCCGAGAGCCTACCCAAGAAAGTTTATCGGGGCCTCGGAGCCTACACAAGGGTCACCTTAGGTCCGTAAGGAATTACCAGCTTGATCAGTGTTGAACCTCCATACTCCAGCCTACCCATACAATCCCTAATAAATAGTTCAATTAGTAACCAATGGATCTCATGATCCATAAATCAGGAATGATTATATTTTCCAGTGAAAACGGTAATCAGAGAACTCATACCATGTAGCTATGGTTCATAAGCTAGTAAATCATAAATTTCGGTGAAACGCAATTCAAAATAGATAAAAAAAATCATGTAATACATAGGGAACACACTTGAAGATCCAATTATTTTCCGGAGGTACTTAGCAATTATCAAGTGGGGGAAACCCGAAACTTCTGCAAACTGATTAAATTCATAATTGAGATCCCTATAAAAAAGGGGTTTGATAGCTGACAAATTCATTAGTCATTCAAGAAGTAATTTATCAAGATAATATAATATTTAGGCATTTTTCGGAGACACTAAGTAATCAAGAATGTATTCAGAATCTTTTGCATCAGAGTTACTTGAGATTTCAGGTATGACAGGAGTGATTCCATTATTCAGGAAATCAAGGGGATTTTGAACATTTGGCTCTTAGAGAATTCTTAGTAATTTGATCTAATAAGGGTGAAATGATGATTCATGGTATTTAAAATTTGTGTCGATCTATCAGGATATTGAGTTAACTCGAACTGAACAAATCCCAACACTATGATACCTGTCAGCTGGTCAAATCGATGCACTTAAAGGGTATTCACACTTTAATACTGACAAAAATATTATCAAATTGATCATCATCAGAATCATCATTGAATGGATCTTAGGGAGATGAATAAATTTTCCAATGGTATTTATTTCATTTTTGTAATGCAATGGTATCATGAAATGTCAGCGTGCTTGATTCTTGGTTCAAAACCCTTATGTATTGTACAGCATATAGGTTCATCAGCATTTCCTGATTTATCTAAGCCATTCACTTAATTATAGTCTTTGAGGATACTTAGGTCATTTAGTAGTTAAGTTTATGCCGGTCACTTCAGAGTTTCTAGAGTAATTCAGTCGTTTCCACAATTCAGATACATACAATACTTTCATTTAGTTAAACTTGGTCATATAATATAGTCATTATAATATCAGAGGTTATTTTAGTTATTTCATAGCTCAATGACATTTCAATAATTCTTTTCAATCCAAACATATGCACTTTTATTGATAATTGGTCAGGTATATCCTTTCTTGATTTTTTTTCACCTTCAGGGGCAATCTTGGCCTTTTTACAATATAAAGGCTTTTTTGTAATTTTACTCCATAGAGTTATTTTTGTAATTTCTTAATAAAATATTCCTCGCATTTAACCTTTAAATAAACTAATCAAAATTTTGGATTCTGAGGTCAATTTATTACTACATAATACATGAACTAATAATTATTTCTGATCGGTCTACCAATTTCTTTTGCGAGCAGTCTGACTCTTCTATAGTGTTTTCCCTTTATTCCATATTCAGTTTAATTCCAATGATAATTAAATACACCTAATTGACCAATCATTTCCATTCATGCATTTACCAATTATCAATGTGTTCCAAAAAGTATACAAAAAGTAGTAGAATATTATCTCGAATTTTTCGAACCATATCAATCGGCCATTTAAACTAAATTCGATCGCTCTCGAACTTTAATTCCACATCCCATAATGTCTCAGATACATAGCAAACGAATTTATGTCAGAAAATGAACTTAATCAAAAAACCAAATTTGATTCCGAAGACAAAACACTGAAAAACGACTTATTGAGTACGAATTTGGGAAAACGAACTTCAGATTCAAACTCAAGATGTCGAAAAACATAAAAATATGACTTTTCAGAAAATTTAACTTTTTTGATCAAAGTCAACGGTCAGACCGGTCAAAGTCAACGGCCAACAGTCAGACCAGTCAACGGTTAACGGATCGGGTCAATGTCGAGTCAAGTCAGGTTGACTCATTTCAGGTCAAACTGACTCGGTTCAAACCGAATTGACCTGTTTGGGCTAGTCTAGACCGACTGGACCTATTCTAGAAGGTTTCCAGGGCAAAGGAAAAAGCCCATGCAAATACGGAGGCACATGACGGCGACGACAAGCTCGGGGTGATCGGCTGATTACTCCACGAGTAACTAACATTATTTTCAACAAAAATTAAACCCAACAACCAACCAATAACTTGATTAAATAGAGTAAAATGGGTTTAGAAAGCTCACCGATGACGGACAAATGAAATCGGCGACAACAAGGTAACCCACGAGTTAGGTTTTGGGCGGACGAAGATTGTGAGTCCAATGATGCATGAGGTGAGGTGAGTTCAAATGAATCACCAAGTCACGACGAACAAACCCTTTCCAGCCACTCTCCTCCAACCACCGCTGTTCGTCGGGGAGAGACGTTGGAAGCTTCGTCGAAACCCCTTCCAACGCCTCGGATATAAAAATAGAATAGAACCTACATGCCCCCTAATCACATGTATCGTACTCCGCAAGCAACGCCAATGGGACTCCTATTCTGATGTCGATAGCTACACTAGTTCAATTCTTTAAACCTAAAATGATGAGTAAAAGAGTGCGCTTTGGGAAACTCAATAATACATAACTACCAAGTGATGCTGAAGGACATGTAGATAAATGGAAAATCATAAATTTTCCTTATTGATTCAAACATCTACAAGTTTTCTGGATGAGCTGAGGTTCCACTGATATTTCTTCGAGTAAAAGACATAAAGATTTTAGTTCAGATGAAACATTTAGAAGATCAAGTTCAGGAGGTTCCACTGATATTTCTTTGAGTTTTACAGCAACCTTAGCTTTCTTGGTTTCTCTATATTTAAATTAGCACAATAAATCAAGCATCTAAAAAATAAATTATATAGTAGAAAATTTTATATTTATGTTTTAGGACAAGGGTAAATTATCTATTTGTTCGTTTAATTATTAATGTGGTTTTTTTATCATCAAACTATAAAAATATTTAATTTTCAACACTGATATTATCGTTTGTTTCAGTTTTGATCATATTCC